TGTTAAAATTAAGCTTGTCCTATGATTCGTTTCACAATTATGCCTCATAAAACTGTTGTATCGTTAATAGTTATCGTTAATAGTGTATTAGTAAAAGAAAAGAATTTCATACTTCAACTCTACGTTTACTCTAAATGTTAAAGATTGGTAATAGTCAGCTAATATTTCGTTTATACGAAACATAGATAAATAAGGAAGGTAAATTTCGAATCGAAGATACAGAAGTAATACTTAATTTATATTAAGAAAAAGTAAACAATATTTAGATTTATCCGATTCAGTTTAAAGCTTGCGCCGCGAGTTTAGGTATAAAAACCACATTAGATATTTGTTTATATCTGTTACCACAAGTTGAGCATAGTACAGTCTGTAAAACAATCTTCTACAACTCGACTGTCCCTGCTTCACATATCACTGATGAACGCAAAGAATTTCTATTGTTTCTTATATTTCTATGCCAACACCTCGCATGCGGGTCACGTAAAGCAACGTTTTTCGCCTGACGTTGTTTGTATGCGGGACACGTAAAAATACGTTTTTATGCAGTATACAATTGGTTAATTACAGAACACGTACAATTATATGAAATAGTAAATATGTAAACGGTTTATGTATATTATGATTGAAAATATTTCAATTTTTTATAAAAATTGTTGTATAGTATTATACGTAAAAATGATTTGTTTCATTCAAACGGAATAAAACTATATTTTATTAAAATGCTATTCATATGTTCACCGTAAGTAATTAAAAATCATATAATAAATAATAATTAGAGCAGTCAGTAGTAATACGTTACGAAATTACTTAAATTGTCATGAACCGTGAAAAAATTCAAGTGCACTGAATGAGTAGCCCGAATGAAAGGTGTTACTCAATATTAAATTAAATGTATATTTTCTACAGTATTGTAAGAAAAATTATTTCGTTATTACTTAACACTTGATAGTGTTCTTTAAAGGTTTTAACGGTTTAACTATCGATGGTTTGAGAAACGTGTAAAAAAATACATTCTACTTCGAAGCTTTTTAGCTATTATAAATAACAGTATCTAAATCGAATAATATTTAAAAAATTTTTGACTACTACGTAAATAATTTTTGAATTTATATTTCCTTACAATAATTTCTGAAAAAATATACTCACACGTATAATGGTATCTAGCAATAATATCTAACAGTCTCAATAGCTCTCTATAGTTCGTAAGCGAATCGATTCAAAACTGATTTAGAACACATATGGAACCAATATTCAAAGATATACGAGAATGGGAATCGATATTGGCCAATATCTCCTCCGACTATGACATTTCGATCCATCGTAGCTGTTTCAGCGAGAACCTTTATTTAACGGTTATTTTGAAGACTGTTCTAATTTGTTATAAAATGTTTACGCAATTGGATTATCTAATTTAAGTATGGTTGTTGTGTCCAAAATTTAATTCGTGTAAAGAAAAATGGAATTTCGATTAACGAAATGTATCCACTTATATTTTGTATTTAACTGTAAATATTTACGAAAACCCATGTTTTTGTAAATTATTTTAACGGCAGGAATTCAATAAATATAAACCTGTAACATTTCCGCTAATAATAATTTTCTAAAGTGAAATTGAAAACTGACCTTCTAGTTTCTAATATTCTGAGTACCTTAAATAATTCAAAAGTAAACTGATGGAAAAGCAAATACGATTAAAAATTAAATAAGAAAAAGTCACAGAAATAATTTCAATTTCCAATAAACTTTTGTTATGAATTTTCAGTAGCATTCCAAAACGACTTACGTTGATAGCAAATTAAAAGTCTTTCTTAAATAGAATAATTAAGTAACTGAACAAGTGACTAATAGTGGATTTTAACAAACGAAAGTTCTTGTTGTGATTGAGTATAAGTGAATTTCTGTAACTGACACTTTCAAGAATTTATAACACAATAAACACAATAATGCAAATTCAAAAAAATACAACTTGCATTGGAAGTCCGTAATTTAATGATAGAACAACACTAAACCTCGCATTGCATAAATAACAGTACAAAAAACGCAACAACTGGAATACGAAGTTCTCCTACATACGCAGTGTGCATCTCCATTCAATAATTTGGATACCTTTAAACGGGATAAACAACTCACAGATGAAGAGTCGCTAAAACGAGCATTCCATAGATCGGTCTCATCAAAGGATACTGGTTATTGTTCGTTGACAAGAATATGTACGAAACGGTGGAATGTATTTTGATTAAATGAAATGTAATGAATTGGAAAACCTCTTCTCCAACTGCAATTCTATATGCATCAAACGAATAATTAACACCAGATATACGGTCGTTTATTGTACTCTCTATTGTATTGTCTCTAGAAAAACAGATGTTCACTCACATGTATTTTGAAAATTGGAGCTTCAAAATCAGAGAATTGGAAGACGCATTCCTATAATTTTAGCAACGAAATGCGACGTAAATTTTTACCAAATAATGCTTATGGAATATAATATCCGTCAAATTGATAGAATGTTAAATATAGATAAATTTCAGAAAAATTTGATAATGTGATAACATTTGGAAAGATGAAATTTTATATATCAACTCGAAGTACGAAAGAAAATACGTCGGTAACATACACAATAGAATCATTCGAAAAAGTTAGAATATAAATGAAATTACAAACTGTATTAGAAAAGGAATCCTTTCATTAAACACAGAAATGAATAAAAACTTTCACTGTTTACCAACTAATTCACAAAAACCGATCATCATTTTGTAAAAACGACATATTATCTTCTATATCAAAATTCAAATGAATTGTAGAAATTTCACTAACAGTATTTCAAAACATTCTTCCAAAGCATTCATTCGACCAGTTTTCGGTACAACTAGTGGTGATCTCTTGCCTCATAAGGTGTCATACTCGTGGTGAAGATCATAAAGAGAATTTGACAAGCACAAATATTATTCAACTTTTTCTAATTCAAATTGAGCATTATTCTTCTGTTATCAACAATTAATAATACATTAAAGCAAACGAAGGTGTAGAATATGGCCAGAATTTTCCGCTTTGTTCACTAAATTATTAATGGTAAAGTAGTTATATCGTTCATAGTTGGGAAGTAAATCATAGGGCAAGAGGTAAGTTGTTAAACAATGTTTCATTCGTCACGGTATGAATAGAAGATCGTAAGACCAACGGCACTCAATACATCCCTGCACCACGGTAAACAGTTGCAGCGTTGTGTCGCGTGACAACAATTTTTCACCAGTTCCGGCTGTTATGAGTTTTCGGCTACACGTCGCACGGAAAGGGGGGCAACGAATGCGAATTGTCGATGGTAGACTCCCGCAATTATTTGTCCCAGCTATGACCAGGGATTTGAACGACCCGTAAGAGACTAAATTCGCTCCTCTTCGAGGCATCGCAGCTCTCGAATGGGTGTTCCGCGTGTCGTATTTCAAGCGGATGTCACCGCACGCACTGATACACAAGTGGAAACGTGAATTTACGATGGATCGTGTGTGCATGCGCTCACCAACGACCAAGGATCGATCAACACTCCGCTCTCTCGCCTATGCTCGCCCCTACTTGGTCTCCCTACATAGCCAGACCGCGAATGTCTAATTACTTTTACGGCGCTAACTGGGTCAACGATATTTTATTTTGGATAATCGTGGCCCCTTCAGAAAAGGTGACCTTCTTTCTAAAAGAAAAACGGGGGGTGGGGATGGGGTGGACGGGGTGGAGAGAATCTTTTCCACCGTCGTCGTCGTCGCACACCACCGAATCCTTAACATCCACGCCTTCGTTCTTCGTCCCTTCGCGTACAGTCGTGCGAGAAAATACTCGGTAATGAATACTTCAACCCCTTCCCCAGTCGATGATAAAGGGAATATATAGTTTGAAACAAAATGAAATTACAAGATTTTTTGATGTTAACCCTTATCACTCTAACCATTAGTCTCATTGCCAAGGACACATAAAAAACAATTGGAACGTTAAAATATGTATAAAATAATTTCTTGTTTTTCGATATTATTTTAGGTTTATCCAACATTCATAATTGAATTTCCTCTTTGAAATTGATAATTTATTTGAAGCAACTGGCAATCATTTTACGATATTCTTGGAATGATACGGCTGAAGTTCTATGATAGTTTTGATGTTAATTGTCTGATACCAAATTAGCGTCGATTTATTCAGGGATACGTTATATACCGGTGATGAGGTGCTTCGTGATAATGTTTATGTAATGTGTATTTTGGGAATGGGTGTGATTTTTAAATAGTTTTTAATGTTGAATTTTTGATATGACAATGATTTCTATCTTTGAATGAATTGGGAATAACTGAAAAATGTCTGACTTAGAGATACTAATGTTAACAGTATCCAAAATATAATCACGATGGAAAGGATTTCGCTACGTCACACATTCACCCTTTGAAATATCTCCTCCTCTCATGTACTTAACGCCACCTTGTGTACTTAACGCAAATGTAGATTCGATGCTCGCATTGCTGAACGAAAATTTGCGATTGTACTAGATAATTCGGTTTTAGTTATCAAACAACAGAATGTTAAAATTATTTTTAAAATGAAAATTTTGAAAGTGACATTATTATTATCATTGATAACAAATGATAATTTTTGTATTATTACTTTGATAACGAATTCAGTTACTATTTATGAATGATAAATTTAGAAATTCAATTAACATTTTATGTTGTATGTCAATGAAATATATAGTTAAAGAAATTGTTAAAAATGAGAGAAAATTTTCGTAAGAGAAGTTTCCGTAGAGAATCGAAAATGTTTCTAATAATACTGGAATAATGTAATTATTACTGAGTCGAGTATCTCACGGAATATTAAGTACAGAACAATTACTCTAAAATAATGATAGTTATTAGTCTGATTAAGGTGAACTATCCGGAATGAGAAAAATTTTAATTAATTTCATCCATTAATAGTGGGTATAATGAAGTTGATCAAGTTACGTGGTTCACATTGTATACCTGAATGTTACAATTAGTGTCCAATGATGAGCGGATGGTCTCATAAAGTCCTCGCGTCAGAAACGTCACGAACTTCCCAGACAATCTATTAATTCACGTTCGATCAATTGGTGTAACAATTTTCACGTGAACACTAGTTTCACTAACAACATAATTCGTGCATACACTACATGTTCGAAAGTTTCAAACCACTGCTAATGTTCGTAGTTCACCAAAGGCAGTAAAGTAAAATATAATATAGCTTAAAGTTATTTTTCCTAGTTATGCATTTTAGAACATTCAAATGATAAATCAAAAATAAACTTCCTTATTATTTTTCGATATAAAAGTATAACAGCTGGTTATTATAATTTTTATTAATTACAATTGTGTAGAAAAAAGTGTATGATTGTATCGTTATACATATATATTATGTATATTGTGTGTTTATGGCGATGAAGAATATACAAAAATATATGCAAAATTAATTTTTATTTCGAAATCATCAAGAAAATATTTTTTTGTAAGGAGAATGATTAATTATCATTAGAAGATCGATAAAAGGAAGATTAAAGAACTGATTTATAAGAACCATATTACTTTTACATTTTTAATGATACTATTAATTCTTTTTAAGCCCCCAAGGAAAAAATTTGTCAACAGTACTTTTCAATAACTTTTTCATAAAATCAGACCAATTATATTTCTAAACCATACTTAAATCTCAAAAATGTTTGAAATTACGTTAAAATGAAACATAACAATTTTTTCTATTATATAACCAAGTAAAATCTGTGCAGAAATATGTAAATGTCAAATAAAATGTTATACTGTTAGTCTCCGATTCGCCCAAGAAATCATTTCTGTAGAAATAAAAATTATATAAATTATAAATAATATAAAATATTAATTTTAACAAAATTTTATCTGAAACTGAAAAATGTAGAAATTTTTAATTCAAAAATTTGCAATACATTATTAAATTAAAAGATTTATATAGTTTAATAAATGTCTACAAGTCCACATCTATATGTATATATCTGAATAAACATCGCCAGTATTAAAAATTAATCAATTTTAACAATGCTAAATATCATAATTAATAATTCCATAATATCACATTAAAAGCCTCATAAAAGATAATAAAGTCATACTATCAAACCGTCATTCTTTTGTTTATATTTACAAATTAGTCTCACTAGAATACCTTGCACGTTACATTCTCTCATATCCGATAAATCTTTAAATTTCAATAGAACATAATCATCGTTCAAATAAAAAATCCGATTCCCAAGATTTCACGGTTCTCAATTCATAATCGAATGCTCAACACATCAGAAACCGTACAACTCGGTTGTACAGCATCATATTTACAAACGACATCAACTAGAATTCGTTTAAAAGCTCTAAAATCTGCTTCTGTTTACGTTCCTAACGAACCACCCTCTGCCCGTCATTTCCAACATCCCTCTCCATGTATTCCTCCTCCACCTCTTCCTCCTCCTTCTCGAAAAAAAAATGAAGCTCCAAGGTCACTCTCCACACAAAAATAAGCGATCCCAAACTCTCGAACTCTTCCCCAACTTCTCATCACCAGTGTAGTCAATACACAAACATAATCCTCGGAGATCCTCGAGGGATGTGCAACTGCAACTACCCGCCGCGGCCATCAGAATCCCATAGCCAGCCCGTTACGTAGTGAAAAATCATGCGTGAAAAGTTGCGGGTTTCACGGTTGACAATTTGACACTGACCTAACCCTCGCGCGCTCAGGCCACGCCGGTCTTCAAGCAGCTTCCGTGACCGCTGCACACCCTTACGCACTGCACCCACGACTGAACCCAACGGGGTGAAGACTCCTCTGGTCCGGAGTTGAAGGATTTCGCCCGTGGCGGCGCCACTGGGTACGCACACGTACCAGAAAACCAGGGGAACCCCAACCGAAACGAAGGGTGAGGGAGACTTCGGGGTCTGGGGAATCTGGACCACTTCTGCGCGCGCAGAGAGGCGATTTACACGGTGCACGCGAGGCGAGACATTGGTATAGTTGTCCGCAAGACGCCAGATGGAAAAAACCTGACGCTCCGCCCACGAAGGGCCTCCTTGTTTGGGACGGGCGCCTTTTTTTTCCTCGCTCCCTCGCCCTTTCATTCGATCCGTGTAAACAATCCGATCGAATCGATAAATTGGTGGAAATGGGGATAATAGGATGAGAGTGCGGAGAGTCGTTACTGGATTTATATAGTAGCTACAGCTTGTTTCTATTTGATGTAGGGTGAAGGGCGGATGAATTCGTTTATGTAGTGAGAACATTTTTAATCCCTCCATTGCAGTCCGTCCCTGATCGTAAACTTAATCCCTTGCCTTATGATTTCTTTCTCAACTGTAATTGAAATTGGAACTACTTTATTGTTAATAGTTTATTAGAAAAGGAGATAAATTCTAGGCTTATCTTATGGCTATGTTTTCTTTAAACTATAACAATTGATAACAGAAGAGTAATATTTAATTTGAATTTTAAAGAATTGTGTAATATTCATGTTTGTTCAACTCTCTTTGAAATCGTTACCACGATTTCAACAATTATTCAACCAAGGTTCATAAATCATCTAACTTTACCATTTAATTTAAAATAAGAATCTGACAATTTAAAAATATAACTGCTACATTTCTCACACAGTATTAAAAATTGATAATTTCAAAATGGTTAATGATTCTATAATGCAGAATTAAACACACGAGGAATAATAAAATCTAAAGTGTCATCATTCTACAGGTATCCGTAGATGTGAAACTTATTTTATGTAGAAATTCATCCATTGAAGCTTCAATTTTGAATATATTCATATTGCAAATTAAATAAACACGCATTCTATTAAATACCCATTACCTCATATGTCTATCCATTACTGGTTATTTCCACTCATATTAATGGTAACAAACGTGAGCGATGGTTTAGTATGACTCATTTTCAATAATTATTCAATGTAATTAATTGGCACAAGCTAATAATTCTGTACCCGACTGATTCCAACAGAAAATATACAATGGAGAATTATCAATAATACCTGTCAAAGGGTTTTCAAATTTCAATTGGATTATTTGTGGTTTGATGATAATTCATACAATGAATGTATGGAACGTTTACATATTTTCACAATTTTCGTAAGAAAGAAACATGACTACCAATATCGGAATATGAAAGTAATGTTATAAGTAAATGGATTTAACAATTGTAATGTATAGAAAATATATATAGCGTAGTTTTAATGGAGATTATAATCTTGTTCAATAAGTGAGTTCATTCATCATTAAATTTTTGAAATGGCGCTCGTTCTGAAGTTAAAACATCGAACATAGCATAAAGTTTTTTGGCGTCATATTTATTTTTCAACTTGAATGAGCAGATCTTGAAAAATTACTTAAAGAACTAAAAACAAATATATAATTTCTAACAATTTTACCTATGTGAAGCTGCACTAAAATTAGTAATTGAAGGAAATGAATTAAATTGTCATTGATTATTAATAATTAGTAATACTTTGACCATTGTCGTTATAAAATTGGGTAATTATAAAATGTTGCCATGCAACACACTTTGAAATTAATTACTGTCACATAAATCACATTTAAGACATGTACGAATGTGACCTAATATAGAACCTAATTCCACAGAATGCGACTGTATGCAACAAAGTTATTCTCAGAATGCATTTGTAAAATTCCATGAGCACCTGACATTTCATACCAATGCCGCTGTGGTAGTTCTTGGAATAATTCAATAAATATTATGCATCCTTGGTAACATTCAGATTATTGAGTGCATTGCAACATTTCAATGCTCAATAGTATGTGTTCGTTAATTTCAATTACACGTATCTATAAATCTATAGATTACATTAATTGACTTGTAATAAACTTGGAAACTTGGTAATATCTTAATAAACCTCAATAAAAATATGAAACAAATTTCTTTGCTACTTCTTGGTCCTTTAGGACGAAAAGATCTGTTAAACAAATAGTTTATATCTTAATGTAAATCATAGTGATTAACTCATTTCAGACAAAAGTTTCATTATTTAAAAAAATTAATTTCCTGATGCCAAGTATTTCTGTTTATCTTATTTTATTTCAACCAAACAATGTACAATAAGAATGTTTAAAATAGTATACCATATAAAATAAGAAAAATCTTTTCAGAATTCTCTTCTTTTGTGATCAAGTGATCAAAACATGTGATATATCTCATTGGATAGGTAGATAATTATGATAGGTGTATTTTCTTATTATTATATATACAGGTTTAATTACTGACTTCGATTGACTTTACATTATTTTAAATTAATTCAACATATTTCAATTGAAGGGATGTGTAGATAAATGGTTGCTGCTGACAAAAAACCTTTGGCGATATAATTCAAAGGACATTTACAAGCTTACACAGTTTTTATGAGGCCATTGTATGCATTATACATTGTGTGCGAAACGGTCGGATAAATACGAAGGAATGATAAAGGTGCTCGGTTTGAAGTGAACCGCCATATTGAAAGCGACTTGGCAAACGACCAATAATTTCCTTGGATCAGTACCCTACGCCACAAGGCGATTCATTCCAGAAATGAATGCGTGAGATCGTTTTATCGATTCACAACAGGATGTAACTTCCGTTGTTTACATGTACAATCCCACAATTTCGTGGTTGACAGTGAAAATTATTATTGAACCTCGAAGATGAAAACAAAGGCGACCTGCATGGACAACTTACGGCCTGCAGACGAAGGAACTGTCTACCTTTCGTAAAAATGTTATTAACATTATTAAAGAAAATTCTCTTAAAATTTAATTAAAAAATTCTATTAAGATCCTTACTTCTTAATAAACCTTTTTACTACAAATATTAGAAATATTGCACCTTGAACGAACAGAAAATATTTTCTATTAACATAGCGAAAGGAACTGTAATACAATAATCATGTATAAACGTATTGGTAAGGAATAAGGAATTAAGTAATAGTGAAATGGAAGTAATTAAAGCATTGTAGTAAGAATATTATTCAAATTTTTAAAATATTTTAAATATTAAAATTATGAACATTTGCATTGTTTGAAGAATGAATAAGTAAATTTCCTTGTTATGTTACGATAATGCTGACAAACAGCTTATTTTCTAATAGAATAATGCAACTGTTTATCGAACAAAGTACCTACAAGAGTATTTGATGAATATTAATGTGTTGAATGAAATGGCTATTATATTCTCTCGACATTAATACATTCAGCAACTGTTGTGTATGTCGGTCATAATTACCCAGAACTACGTGAAATAGAGGAAATTTCATACGATCAAAAGTCAGAAGAGTATATTACATAGAATCCGACTACGGTAAGGCAAAATTATATTGAACAATATGTACATTCATCCGGAATTACTTACTCTAGAGTAGACATTGTAAAAGAGACACTACAGAAAATATTAATAATAATACAACTGCATAAATCCAATATTTTAACAATATTGTGTTACTTTTTCATTATTCCTGTATTCTGTTATTTCTCAATACCATTAATTAATGAATGTATTAAATTAATTTATTACCCTTATTAAATACTGTAGACATAACAAAAAATCATCAAGATTAAAGAAATTATAAGAACATGATTTTTGTTACGTACTGTATATAACACATATACTTTAATGTTAAAACAGTTGTGCGAATTTTAATTAAAAGAAGACACTACCCTTCTATGTTGACTGTATATGCTGACAGCACTTTTATTCTGTTTCATCCCTGTCTTATGTTATCATAACAATTACAGTACTCCTGACGAAGTTGCCAATATTAAAAATAAACATAAATACCCTGAATATATATTATTAACATTTTCACTGTTAAAAATAAATGAAATAATCCGAAGTTATATTGTATTTGTACAGTATCGAAACGAAGCATATTTTTAATTCACGTGATGAATAATTCATTACAAGTTTTACAAAACCCGATTATGATGAAATATATTTCTGTTGGTGCCGCTTAACGTCCGTAAATTGATTGACGAATTAGAACATGTCGATTTCCAGGTCAAATCAAGCCTATCCGTGAAAGTTTTCGAAGTGCAATGGCCGCCGAATAAATTAAAAGGACTTTAATACTTGACAAATAATTCGCTCGAACTTTTCCAAGTCTTTTCACCCTTCATTTTACGCTCACCCACTTTTTTTTCTATTCCTCGATTCAGCGGGAAGGAGATTGGCATCCGAGACTCAATGATAAATGAGCTGCGCTGAATTGGAACGACCCTTCCTTACTATTTTCTCCTCTTAGTTTTCTCTCACTTCGAGAACTACTCCCTCCGCCGCTTATTTCTTCTTCGTTCACCTTAATCCATCCGCTTGGCAGCCGTGCCGCACGAAGCGGTTTCAAAGCTGATATGAAACACACGCTTCCAATCATTTCTTAAACGAATATCGATGTACATATGCATATAAATATTCTTATGTTTTTCTTTTTTCACGCCTTCTTAACACTAAAACTACCGACCGTTTAATATGATTAACCCCTTGCACTTGGAAGTATTTCGTTAGAAATATTTAACATTTTCTAACGAGACAAAGACGACATTTTTTTAAATTAACTCAAAAAGAAATAACGGGTCAATTGAACAAAGCTACTTTATTCCAATGTTTTACATACTGATGCATTATATAAAAGTACAATATTAAATATCAAATTTCATAATTTTATTGCATCAAATCAAGTGGTGACTGAGAGTCAAATCTCGAGTGCAAAGGATGAATATGTCATCCTTATGAAAATTGTTTTACTAGGTTTTTTCGATTTCTTCATGTATTCATGGTAGTATTCGAGTGAAAATATATGTTTTTGGAATTGTTTTTATTTTCTGGTATTTTATTTTATTAACAATTTCTACTTCTTACAACTACTATAATTCCATGCATCGCAGACTACTTTTTTAAATCAAGGTCCTAGGAAATGAGGTACATTTCATGCAAATCGTATTTCACAATTATAAAATTCATTTTTTCCTTTTTCCAGTACGGTATTACTGCATTATTGTTATTACGAACGCTAAATATAGAAATTCATTACCTGTGAGACGATCGATAACTTGATTCGTTAATCAAAACAAAGGGTGTAAGTACGCAACGAAAGCACCATTAATTTGAAAAATAAATTAATTTTATATTATAATAATAACGCTTTTGTTATTCCAACATAAATACATAGTATAGGAAATATATGAACAGTAAATATACTAACACTCATACGAAAAAGGGTAAGTTTATCTTCATTGTAGTTGAAAATTGTGTGCTTTCATAATCAAGAAGTTAAGGTTATTATGTTATGAACAGAATTTAATTTACTCAGAATCATTTAGTACCTTGAATTACTTTCCTTATTTATTACCGATTAATTTGATTACATGAATTATAATATGTACCAAATTTATTCGTTACTACACATATAACTTCTTTTTGAATGACTACTTTAGCTTTCATATATCCTATATATTTTATTAATAAAGTCATAATTACGTGATGAATGCGCAAAACATTACTTTCAACAAAATAGGTCGAATTATAATTGGATTACAATTTAATGTCCAGTTTTGCAAATAATGTTCGGTAAGTATTCAAAGCTTATACAGTTTCTAATTACGAATAACTTTCAAGAAATAAATAAATGTTAATGTAATATATGATACTATAGTTGATAAGAGAAGTATTTTCCCAGTCCTGCTACGTTGTTGTTATTTTCAATTAAATTCAAATTTAATTCTCAGTTTTACTTATTCTTTTCCGCAACCAAGGAACTACTTGAGCAATTGTTTGAAAATCCGTCGTACGTAGCTTGAATTCAACTGAAAGCGGACTTCTGTCTGTGAAACGTACAAACCGCGCACGAAATTAATAGAGTAACTTCAATGTTCACACGGGAAACCACCAGACACTTCGCTATGTATTTGAACCGAAATATCTATGAGATCGTAATACTATTTTCTACCAATTTGTAACTTCGGTTCCGAAGTTACATTCGTTAAGTCAGTAGACAGATATACTAGATTAATAAAATTGATTACTGGTCTAACAATAAGCTTAAAGTATTCCATGGAACGATAAACAGTTAAACTTTACATTAGTATAATACTTCTGTTAGTTGTAAGATTTAAACCGATATAACGAATTTATTAAATTAACAGTTTCATGTTTGATTGAAAGAGCACAGTAAGTATATGAGTTTTTTGTTATTATTTTACATTAAAATATTCTTTCCTTACATACTTTCTTTAAATTCAATTTATTTACTTGGAAAGACTGTTTTAAAAGGATCGAAGTATAAATGCGTTACTCATAAAAAATCCTTGATTAGAAGAATGTAATTCTACAATTAATTACAGTTGAATAACAAGCAGCATGAAGATAACACATGAAATTCGAATACAAATTAAATTAAATAAGGGAAATTAGAATGAATTCCTTTGTAAAAATGAATGTAATTATAGTTTTAAATTAATGGATATACCACATAATTATAATGCTTGATTGGACCTTCTAATTATATTCGCTAGCACTAAATTAAATCCTGAAGGGACATGTCCGACGACAGCTCGCTGGCACCGTTCTTGAATTCTTAAAACCTGCAAGAGGAGTTTTCGTTGATGCGAACTTACTGGGGCAATTTGTCTGGCACCTGAAACCACTGCTTCTACAGCTCTCGAGAACCATAAAATCACTGCGGAAACGCTATTTCCTTTCGATAACCTTCACTTCAACTTACCGTTCAATAAATACTATAGTTTTGTAAAAGAACTTCACCAAAAAAGAATAAATCTTAAAGTTAAAAAACATCATCAATCACGTTTCAATGAATCTCTGTTCAGAATTGAACTTTAAGTACAGTCATTGCAAAAAGTATGTATTCTATTAAAATTCCTTTTATTCTAATTGTGATTTCGATATTGATATTAGTGTACAAAATATTACTCGTCTTTTTAATATGGAAAATGATGTATTATTTCCATAAATGAATTCATACAAGGATTATATAAGTTTTTATTCGAATGTAGTATCCGATACACGTATCTATTGCCATGTTTACAAATGTCTACAATAGAATTAGTGAGAATGATTTATTTACAAAAACTTATTTGATTATTAAATTTTATTTATACAATATGTTGTAAATTATTAATTGATAAACAATTAGTGCCACTTCGACGTCTCAAAGAACTCCATTCCTTCTGCCTTCAGACGATTCAATAAAGGTCGATAAATATCTGCAGTGAACGGAAGTACTACGCCCCTTTGTTGGATTTCACCTGAAATAAAAATTAAGAAAATTATTAATAATAGTAAAATTAATAAATAATGAACGGTTTATTTCCCAATAAATTTATACATGTATATATGTATAATATATACTGTTCAATTTATATTAATTACATGTAATTATATAAGTGTTCTAATAAATATTAATAGTTATATATTATCTATATATAATAAATGAATTAATTTTTTAAATGATTTATCTACCGTCAAGGATCATTTTCACAGCAATGGCAGTTGGATATCCAACCGTGCGCGCCATTGCAGAATGCCCTTTCTCATCTCCATACAACACCAAATTAATTCCTTTCGTTTCCCGTCTGTTATCTGGCCAAAGTATGCCAATATCATGTCTCAAGATCACGAGATCTCTTTCATTCTGCTCATAGCTCAATTTCTTCGACAAATAATGTGTCACTGTATCAAGGGGAGTGTTTAATTTTAACACTAAATCCTCTTTAAGAAGTCCTAAGTCCTCAATTGCATGCACAGCAGCATCCGAATTTAATACGTCCCCTAACTTTCTTTTAAGATTTTCGTAAAAGATGTTATCATTTGCTAAGCCTAATAAATTACATATGAGTACTCTCTGAAAATAGGGAAAATATTTTACATTAATTTTTCTAAAAATTATTTAAGAACTACGATAAAAAAGAACAACGCAGTGATTAATCAAATGAAAAGTAAGGTGCAATTAATGAAATGAGACTTTTAAAAACGGTTGGATATTTCGTTTCGTTAATACCTATGTAAAATAAATTTACATATTTCTGATTGTGAGCATAAGCATCTAAATATTAAAAATTTTAAATAAACAACAAAAACAAATGAAGATACGCCGTATACACATACCCAAGTTATATCTGGTCCATTTGGGTGCAGACATGGATGAGGATTCGGATCAACGAGGCCAAGATATTGCAATGCTCGTACTGTGTCGCAAAACCCTTTAAATCTTAAAGTGCCGCGTAGTACTATGTTGGCATTATTTATTCCGTACAATTCTTTATAGATGGTACTATCTCTGTTTGGATAGCCCTCTAAAGCGAATCCTGGTAAAAAGTCTAAATCTTGAGCAGCAGACATTAAATTTCCACCAGCTGGTATTTCGATTACCTTCGAAATAAAAGTATTAACGATTCCATAGAAATTACAGGGGAAATAGTTAAAAGAATATTAATTAAATTGTAATTATCTTATTAACACTAGATTTACAGACGTTTATTGTACAGTTTATTCTACTGTTTCTAGAAAATTTGATGTTCTCTTATGCTGATCTTGGAAATTAGAAGTTTAAAACTAGACAATTAATGTATACATTTGTGTAATTGAAACAACCAAAATCAACGTAAACATTTACTAAATAATATTTGTGAAACTTAATACGCGTCAAACTGACGCGGTTTGTAAACGTACTGTTAATAATTTAGTTGTTTGAAAATCTTCATTTAATTTTAACATGTAGATTAGTAAATGCTATAACAGTAAGTACTATGTTCTACTATACCATTAGCCTCTATTAAACTAATGAATACTACTGCAGTGTTTCAGTCTGCTATATCGGTAGTGTAAAAATCGACCTGAGGTAGGTAAGAAGGTACAAGATGTTCCTTCGAAACGATAAAATTTTAAGGACCAATGAAGACGAGGATAATTGAATTACGAGACATGATAACACTGTTTACATGTCAGCATCACCAATGCCTGCAGATGGTTTGCAGATATAAAAGCTATAATAAAAAACGTTATTGACAATCTATCAAAAACAACAGACCTATATATACAAGAATTGATATATTCAGGATCGATTTAGCTCCAGAAAAAATCTGAACAATCTTTAAATTAGGACAATTGTACACCACATTTAATTCTATTTTTAATGATAGTATAGAAATATATATTACATACTTTATTTTAAAACTCATCTTTTTAACGAAATAAATTATTTCACATTCTATTTATATCTCATTCGAAATAAGACTCTGTCTTAAAATATAATAATTTAAAAGTAATTATAAAACATGTATGATGAAATTAAATTAATTTTATTATATGTTAATTCTCATTGAATTAAATAAGACTTTATTTATTGATGAATGAAAATTATATACTGTATTATACTCACTTGCTTGTCATAATAATATTTTGCTGCTGCTAAGGTATTTGATAATACTCCTCGCGGTGACCAACTGAATTTATAACGTAATGGATTGTCGGAACACTCTGGCGCTGGTAAACCTCCACACCAAGACACGAAAGATTCTATTTTTCCACCAGCTTGCTTCACATTGTCGAAACATTCTAAAGCCAATAGATGATCGATTCCAGGATCTAAACCTACCTCGTTGAGTATTGTTACATCTGCTGCTACTGCCCTAATGTTATTAAAAAAGAACAATGTAATAATATTTGTTATTATTAATCTTATTACTATTTCCATCATTACTCCTATTCTTATCAATGCTATTACAATTATTAGTAATATGTACATGTTCAATTGTTTTTTTCCTATACTTAGTTGTTATTACTACTGCAATCATTAAAATAAATAATAAGAAGTGACTGTCCAGTTTGAAAAGAAATAGAAAGTGTTTTACAAATATTCATGCGTCTTACAGCGATGAAAAAAATTGTATATACAATGACTTTACGTTTTGACCACATAATCAATATTTCTCTAACATTGCTGTTAATTTAAAAGTACTTAATTTTAGGCGAGTTTATGTCACATTCCTATTTTCTTACAGAAAAGATTCACTTCAAATAATTTACTTTCCTTAGTGGTTTAATTTTGCAATTAAAATTTGAACATTATAAACATTTTTATAAATATTTACAAAAATATTCAGCATACCTACAAATACCTCACGTATATTCCTACAGATAATGCAAACAACTACGACATCGATTGGAGGTAATAGTTCAGAATGTCTATTGATATCAACTCTTTTTTTCCACATCGTTTTATGAACAATTATTCGACAAATTAAAATATCATACTCACTCATCATGCAAAGCTTTCACCTCCTCGTTCATGTAACTTGCAGTTACCAAATGAGTTTTAGCGCTTATACAAGCTTTAGCAACAACATGATGTAGAGAATAAGGTAGTAATGAAACTACTACATCTGCAGATTGAACAATGTCTTTTAAAGTATCCGGTCGTTCTAATACATTCAGAAAAATTGGTTCCACTCCGGAAAACTTATTTGCTAATACATCAGCCTCTTCCTTTAATTGGGATGCAACGATCAATCGTATATTGCTAGCTCTATGTAAATATTCGACTAATGGTGCGGAAACGTATCCTGCACCCAGTACAACCACCTGTTTGTACAAAATAGTATTACTTTATTGCATAATATCTGACCACTATTAAGGGTTTTTTTAAATTGTTTAACGAAATGTATATTAACGTTTTTATTGCTAATGAAAAAATTGTACTTGAACCAGTTATCAAGAACTGCAAGTATTAATACTGTTATCTCGAAATAATACAAATATTCATTAATCATAGTCCGAAATAATAATTCCAAGTACTATTAATTATATAAAATTTAAATAGAAGTAATTAAAATTTGACATATAATAATAATAAGATATTTAAGTATTAAAAATATGTTTTCATTAAGGCTTATAAATAAGACATAAAAGGTAATATTAGAATATACATTATTTTTTAACTGGTAGAGAACACTATTATTAAAAAAATAATAAATCTTAATGTTAATATTTAAATTATTTAAAAAGAAATGAAAGCGCAATGTCAATACTTGTATTATTTTCAACCTATATGACAAAATGTCTCTTCATTAAATTTATTACAGATAGCTATTCAAAGTCAATCTAACTCAAAATAGATAGAGAAACTACCATTCGAAGAATAAATATTAGTAAACGAAATATATTAAAACTGAAGTATTAAAAGTTATTTTAGATACAAGACATCTTCATACCGTTTTATTCTGCGGTTCTTTGTTATCTGCTTTATGTTTGCTTCGCTGATTTAGTAACCTCAGATCCTGAATATATTCGAAATTTGGAGTCAACCGTCCATTAGATGCAATTATTGCATCCTGCACTGCTGGGCTAAATTTGTGTTCTTCCAATGGTAACTTGGCATCGGATTGAATAATATCCAACACATATGGATACAAAAGATTTCCAAAGAAATCTGTCGATTCTTTTGGAAGTTGAGTTGGCATATTGTCTATTGAACACACTAAGACTCCTGGACCCTTGAAGGATTTGGTGTCCTTATTACGATCAGCATCATACAAACAAAATGGCGTGTCGATCGTTGTACACTCGTTCATAAATCTATGAACATCCCAAAATTATCTAAGAACATTTCCTTTGCGTAACATCAGTTCAAAATTACATTGCAATTGACGAATTAGTACATAATGTCACAGTCTATTTCATATAAAATGTCCCACAAAGACATCGGTTAAACCAGTATTTAAATTAACTATATGAGAAGATAGCTATAAAAAAAGATTTGTTTTAAGTGGAATGTTATATTCTTTATGTTTATTTCCTGTGTCTCAATAACATAAATGACACGAAATGTGTTCTTTGTATATTTTCATACAATGAACGCATTTTTCAAAAATAAGAATCTATCACGTTGAGTTTCTTTAAAGGTTAAGCTTTTCCTAGAGTTTCTGATTTTCTAAGATTAACCTGTACTTATTTTTTTGTGCAAGTAATCTCATACCAACAAAATTCCCTAATGTTTTTAATTTTTATTTGAAATGTTTCTTGAATTAAAGAAATCAAAATTAAACAACATAACATTTACTTACAGCAAAAACAAATCACAATTGGATTTAATACAATCTTTTTTTCCTTTAACGAGTCTAATCAAGTAATTTTATAACTACTTTATTATACAATTGTATTTGTTTAGAAGTTATGCAGTTATTTTATAATGATTCTGCCAATTAACCAAATATATTGCCTATATATGTATATATATTTGGTTAATTATAAATTAAATATATTTGGTTAATTGGTAAGAGTATCAAGATTGTTCTTTAATATGCAGGTATGGTTCTGAACTTTTATATTTATTAATTATATATTTTAATTAAATATAATTTTAATTAAATATTATATATATATATATTACTGGAAAATCCTAACAGTTTCCTTTGTCTACCAGATTTTACCTTTCGTTTTGACTATTTTATGAAAACGAAGAACAAAGACGAGGATAGTTTAAAATATTTAAAGAAGGAGTTCCCTGGCATAAGTGAAGCGAAAATAAACGAAAGTACCGCTTCGTTGGACCTCAAATTAGAGAGCATTGTCAGGACAGTCATTTCGAATCAAAGCTAATTGTAAGTTAAGTTTAAAAGGGAGCCTGGGAGACATATGAAAGCGCATAACTCAACTTTCACGAAAACAAACAAGAAGAACATTATGCAGAAACAGCGGAAGAGCTTCTTTGCTCTTATGAAGCACTTGAGTGCTCATATACAGAGATATCCACTTAACTCGAAACCCGTGTGCACGGGACAAACGCGACCAGCAACAACACTGCATGAACGGACGAATACTATTACATTCATGTAACTGTTACAGAACGCAAACCTTCGAGTGTTTCGAACAATCGTTTGGCTTTCATCACCGCGATAACCAAGAAGAAAAAGGGAAATAGACGTTTAAAGATTGTCATAAATGTACAGCAAAGGGACCATTTTCTGTTTACAGAGTTTCTCACGGTGGTAAATATTCCGAAACATATACAGTTACACAAAGAAATTGAATGTATACTTGTATACGATGTGAAGATTATTGTTAGAATACATAAAACACACAATCAATATGATAAAACGTGGGAGTGATAGAAAGTATCTGTTTATGTAACAGTGAAAATGTATTTTTTAAAATCAATTTAATTATTTTTATTAATTCTAAATATTTATTTAATTCATTCTGTTTTTAACAATATGCTCAGTAAGCTGAAGTTTTAATTTTCAATTGTTATCATTTAAAAATAAAACCTCAACCTGAAAAATGATAAAAATCTTGTTTGATTTGTATGTAACTGAACTTTGTATTTACGAAAGGAAAATGAATGTTCGAAGTGGTTCGATATTCTTGAGACACCCTACATATACAGTGGTATGCGCTTATTATAAACAGACTCAACTGTATATATAAAATGCTTCACGACAAATGGAACAACCAGAGAAAATATTATTCTACATGCAAAAATAAGTCGAAAAAACATGAAATTCTTTTGTGTAAAACTTTCTTTCCCTGAAAATTAAATTTAAAAAATTACCAGCAACGTAGGTATGTACTTGAGAGGTATAAGATTGTGTGTCTATTCTTTACCTTCCATTTCTACTACTTATGAATATCAACACATACTTGAATTTTTAGGCTTGACATTTTCGAACTTTTAAATAAAAATTAAAACAAGTACTTCATAACAAAATGTTATTTTTAACTTTATTCATTTTTGGACTTATTTTTACAATCTAAAAAATCTTTTTATTAATTTTTTTAACTAAATTAGGGAAACATATATTTTATAACCCTTGCAAAACTCAGTTTCAGATTCGCTAAAGAGTATAAAAAATTATAGGTTTCTCTGAAAAATCTAAAAGTCTTTCTAGACTATATTATGCAACATGAAAACAATTTAATCGAACAAATCATAATCCAATTATAAATATTGTGACTCATTGGCGGAGTTCGATAGATGATTTCCGGAGACCGATAGGTCATTTTAAATATAATTAATCTGTCTTACAAATGTTAAGCATAAGTCAAATATACCCATTATGATCTTGTTATAATTAACACAAGCCTACATAGCTATCATCATACGGAAATTAGTGTTTATTAATTAACGAATAACGTTGTATGTTGTATATAACTTACAATAGAACTTGTCTCATATAAAATGGCACATCCACCAATGCATCACTCACTATAAGTGAGGAAGATAACATTCACAAGGTTAATAATTTAAAAAATATTAGTAGAGTATACACAATACATTATATTAGTCTTACTCAATACTGCCTCCAGGATCAGCAGATATATCACAGATGGCTAACATTCTATGAGGGAGGGCTGGGGCACCAACACTTATAGGTAACCAAGGAGTATAAGCTGGCCTTAGTAAATATTTAGCATCCGGTAATGTCAGTAACTTTGGCGAATCAATAGCCCAGTATATACCATTTATAATGACTGAGGCATATGGTGCAATCTTTTTGCTGAAAGTGGAAATATATCTCTCAGGATGCTTATCATATTCATCGGGATCAAAACCACCTCCTTCTTTCCTCTCTAGATGATGTCTTCGTCTTACCTCGCACCCATATATTTTTGTTGTATCTGAAATGTTGAATATATTGAAAATAATTAAAAAAAATAAAATTGTAAAAAAAATTCTTTTCTTTCAGCCATTAGAAGAAGAGAAAAGAGATAAAATGTTTGAAGATCTGAGTGCAAATGGACCCGGGCACTGAGAAATAATGACGTGTACAAGTATCACCACCCTCATCGTGACAAGTGCGAAGTCTTCAAGTGTTTGAGGCTCGAGCAGTTTGAAATAAGTTCAACCACGATCGAGAGGTACATTAATCATTATCCATCATTAATCATACCCTTTATTATTGTGTAATATTTTTTCTTAAACGAACGAAAAATTAATAATCCTTCTGAATTAACAAACTGTCGAAGGTACGTTATTTTGGATTCCTACCATTGGGCATCAATATAACATTCAACCACATAAGGATTTTTAAGAGCTTTTTTAATATAATTTGAAACGTTAAATAATAAAACTTCTTTATACGTCTTATAAAAGTTAATTATAATAACAATAAAACAACAAAATAATTTTTCTAAAAGGATATATTATATCCGTAATTTCCAAGCTTCAAACGTCAATAACCGTCTTTAGATAGTAACTTACCGCCATGTTCAGCGACTTTTTTCAACATTTCTGGTGGTACGTATTCATGTGGAAGTTCTTGGAAGACTTCTTGACCACCTTGACTGACATTGCCGCTGCCAGTAAACACAAAGGTCAGTGGCCCAATAGATTTCGGCATAGCACCTAATGCTATTTCGTAACCCGCATCTCGAATTGATTGTCGGGCCATTGCTGAATCTCTATAATTATGCGCTGGTCCAATGTGCTATATAAATATTAATATTTAACATTGAACTTTTATAATCATTAGAATTGAAAGAAAACTTATATTTGAACCTGTTTTTAAAAATCGAATTGAAATTTAACCGTTGGAATATTTAATCTAAATTCGAATGCAAATGTAGTAATTCCAACTTCAAATTAAACATCATATTTACAAGACTTACTAATAAAATTTTTCTATTACATGTCTTGTAATGATTCGTTACTAACGACACTTTCAAAATTTTTTTTAATTTAATCAAAATTAGAATCAATGATTTAACATACAAATGAAAAATATACGCACCGGAATAAATGTAGGATAAACATCACGACAAAGATGATTATCCAATTCATAAAAAATATATCCATTTAAAATCCAGGAATTGATTCTGTATTAATTTAAATTTTTTCAAATTTTTTAAGTGCTGAAAGTGACAAAGTATTTTACATTCAATATCTTCAATTTGAATTTGAATTTGCAGAAAGACGTTAACATTCTCAAAATTAGAATTTTTATTTTGAAATCAGTGAATGAAGTTTAAATTCAAATTTGAATGGAATTACCACAATTTGACGTTACATTTTGCTGTTGAGATTTGGGCTGCACGTACCATAAAGGGTGTGTGATGTCCAAGGGCCAACAATCTCAATCCAAGTCCATGCAGTATGTTCACCATACCAGCTACACCAGCATACTTTCCAAAAGCTACCACCCTTTGTCCATTGACATCCGTTAATTTTTCATAATCCAACAAACGTATATTTTTTTCTAAAATAGCATCTAGGAGAGGCATGTTACTCTCCTGTGCTTTAATAGTATGAGAAAAGAAGCAATACGTTTTATTAGATATAAGCTGATCGACAGGGACTTGCTTCACCCCAAAAATTACAGAGGCAGAACTAATGTCTTCCTGTAATATAGCGCCTGCAGCTTGATATGATTGTGCAGGATAAGCCCTCCTGTTGCTTGGTTGCACAATCACCTTCACCCCCGCTCTAATTAATCGACGGACATTCGCGGGCGCTAAAGGTGCTCTTCTTTCCCATACTGATTGATCCTCCCTCCTGATCGCGATTGTTTTACCCTTCAAGCTCTAAAAAAATTATTTCCAATTAATGAACATATGTTATCATTTCATAAATCTGCGTATTTCAAACTACTAAATGTTTATTGGTGTATTACGTCTTATATTTTGTTAATCAGTAAAATGAACTTAAACGGAATTATTTGAAATTAAAACTTATATGTAAATTTAATTAATGAAATTTGAATTTAATTTTTTCAATTTTAACAATTGAAACTCGGACTTGGATTGACTCAGATCATTGCAATAAACTTTAAAAACTGCAATTAGAATTTTTGTTCTATAAGTCCAAGTATAAAAATGTAAAAATAAGTACAAGCAACGTCACAATTTAAATTTAAACGAATTTTTAAGAAATTAGTGGAATTTAAATGTTATTAAAATTTAAACTTGAATTTGAATGTAATTGTTGACATGTAAACTTGATTTCGAATATTGTTATTCACATTTGAAATGACAATTTAATATTTTCTATCTCAACTAATAATAGAATCAGAAGTTCTAAATTTGAAGAAACTAACATTTTTAATTAAAACGTTAGCACTATATTTTAAAAAATGTGTTAATATTTGTTCGCTTTAGTATTGACATTTATGAATGTAGTTGTACATACGGTTGACAAAGAACGCGTACTAAATTCACGCTTGAGTAACTGCAAAATCCTCATAGTAACTTCATTCAATCAAATAAAATGTTTTAAAAGGTTCGTTGACAGTTTACAGTTTCCACTATTCACAATTTTTGATAAAATATACAGTGAAGTAGCAAGAAACTTCCACACAATGGTGCAATCCGTTTACTTTTACTTTGAATTGACGTTTCTGTATTGCTGTTTTGATATTACATAGGTCAAAGAGGTCAATGCAAGAGTATTACCACATCATTGATAAACTCAAAGCCAATTAATTATCAGGAGACTTCAACTTTCCATAGCCACGTGACCATAGTTATAATCACTAAGATTTACATACAAATAGCATGATATTTATGAATCTACATGATAAAGAATTATTTGTATATCAATTCTACCGTAATAAAATATAGTATTTACTCCCAATGTATGTAGTTGTCTTATAAGCCAAGAAAGTTTGTTTCAGTTAATGGTGAACTAAAAGACTTGGAATCATTTCTCATGAAATAAGTATTTTTTATTAGTTGCTTCATCGTGTGTCTTAAATCCAATAAGAGTGTAAAATCAAATATGAAGTGTAAGCAAGTTGGAATGCTAACAATGATGCATAGAATAGTATTACAAATTTTTAAATCGTATTGAACAAAGCAGCCTTGTGTCATCTATCAATCTCATTATATTTTTATGAAATTTTTATAAATTGTTTGCAGAATTTTCCAATGAAAATAAGATTGAATACTCCAATATTTAAACAATTAGAAGTTAACTTTACTATTAATATGATAAAATTATTAATTTCATACTTCCACAAGCATTATTTTACTGATTCTATAATAACAATAGATTACAAAGCAATTTGAAATAGCATAAAAATACTATACAATTTAAAAAAGTGTTGAAAATTTTAGTTTCGTTCACTTGCTGGATTTATTACAGTATATAAAAGGTAAAAATAAAATTATAAATATCTTTGTAACCAATTTATTTTATTATCTTACAAATACCTAGTTTTTTGCCATAGACAAAATAAATATTGATATAACATGTGCAAACAATTGTACTAATATCAATTGGATTGTGTTTTAATAGATAAATACATTTTATTCTTTATTGTCTGTTTGGTAGGATTAATTTTTTTCAGTATCTGAGTCATTACATTTACTAATTGTTCAGAAGTAAGTCCAGTCTTTTTTGACTTAAACTTCTGCAAAAGTTCTGTAGTTGTCATTGGTTTACGCATAAGATAACGTCTAACCGCATCTTCCGTAATTCCAGATTCACTATAACATATAAAAAATTTGTATTTCAATCTGTTTAATTTTATAAATTCTACAATCAAAGGACAGTATTCAAACTTAATATAATACATACCTAGCTCCTGGTATGTACGAACTCACTGGTACCAAATTGAAATTATCTAATTTCAATTTTTTCGCTTGTGACAAATCCGGGGAACCAGATTGTTTTCTCTTTAGGGGATCTGACATTCCAGCCACAACAGGTGTCGGAGTTGCGGATCTTGAGCTATGTGCACTATTCGATTTCTTATTATCTTTTTCTTTGACCGTATCAGATTCTGAGCCTGAATCACTAGAAAAGTCACTAGATGAATCCTTTCCTGAAGCTTTCTTCAGATCTTTCTTCTTAGACAGCTTTTTCTTCTTTTTCTTATCTTTCTTTTTCTCAGAATCTTTACTATTCTTATCCTTATCCTAAGATATTAAAGGGAAATGAACCGTAGCTTTATGTCAATAGGTAACAGATATAAATAAATTGGTTTTATTATTTTTACCTTATCTTCTTTTTCTTTATTTTCATCCTCTTCGTCTTTGTCTTCGTCACCATCCTTTTTATCTGCTTGCTCTTCCTCATCTTCTTCCTCATCAGATGCAAGCAATTTTCTTAATGCATCTTCTTCAGCAACCGACTTAATTTCTTTTTGTTGTTCCAATTCTGATCCAGAATCAGAGGAATCAGAAATATAATCACACTCTCTACCTTCTTCATCACCATCATCACTTTCTTCAAACGCTTCGTCATCTGATGCTTTTTCTTTCCGTTTCTTTTTCTGAGAAACAACTAATATACGTACTTGTGTTAAATGAATTAGTTGAACAGAAATGTATAAAATAAAAACTTCGTTCTTTGCAGTAATAAATAAGAGTTAGAAGTTATTGTTTAAAAATAAAAAGAGTATATATTTAAAGCTTACCTTTGCCTTTCTTCTTTTTATTGTCCTCTTCATCATCAGAGTTTTTCTTAGTTTCTTCATCATCACTAGCAGAATCGTCATCATCACTATCCATCCACTCATCCATCTCAGATATTTTCAAATCTTTTTCTTTTTTATTTGGCTTTTTACCCTTTCCACCTTCCATTATTTCTTCATCATCTGCTCCTTCTTCATCATTTCTAAGCCTCTTACGCAACATTAGTGAAAAATAATTCATTACTTTATTCCTACGACTAAATTCCTGTTCTGCTTCTTCTGCACTCAATGCTTTATACCTCTGAATAGGTTGGAAATTATACCTATACAAATAATGTTTAATTTAATGTGTTACAGTATTTAACAACAATTTTTACAAAACTAAACTATCTTACCATTCATGTAGTGGAAAAGCTTCTATGGCTCCATCAGCAGCATGTGTAAAAACATAATAAGCAGCATTTTCACTCACACCACCTTCTCTTATTCCTTTAAACTTCTTCCCAGTTTTTCCACCAGATTTAAGAATCCATGGCTGATCCTCTGGTTTGTATTTTCTACTGGTAATACCAAATTTTTTCCTTCTGGCTTCTTCTCTGGCATCTCGTCCAAATTCAGATCCAGCACCAAATTTTGGCATTTCTTCTTCTATTCCTTTATATTCTTTCATATTATTTTCACGTTCCATTTTCACTTGTGACCATTTTGAAAAATCAACATTTAATGTTGCGTTAAATCTCATTACATTGTGCTTCTTTTTATTATTTCTGAAATAATATTTTTTCATGTAGTAGACATAATAAAATTCTTAAGTAAATAATTTTACATACTTTGGTACTCGTATACTATATTCTTGTATAGACTGTACAACTGCAACCTAAAAAGTAAAATGCATAACGTATTAGATTTGGATTGAAATAATTATAAGAGAAGTTAACACATGAAACAATAACCTAATGTAGAATGTAATCACATCAATTAATGTATAATGTTAACATAGGATAGTATGATTACAAATCTTTTATTATACATACCTTTGGTGCAGCAGGTGAAGTCATTTTAATTAAACTCTCGACGTCTTACTAAACGTAAACAATCGTTTCAAGAACAGATGTCAATACCAAATGATATTTTCACTTTAATTTGACATTCTCATATCGATACGTAGGTACAGGACCACCAACCATAGACAAGGTACAGGATAGACATTACAAGCTTATGGGACTCGGAGTCACATGTTCTATATTACCAACTGTATAAAACAACAGAGTTTTTACTCTGCCCTCTATGATCAAGTTGACAAAGTAATAAATATGATAAACCAGTCAATATGGTAAAAACTACACACATTTTCAGCAAGGATTCAATATTCATATTGAATTGTAATTTAAAATTGAAAAATTCTTTATAACTAATAAAGAAAGACTGCATATCAACTCAATATTGAATATATGAAAATCAATTGCAATTAATCAAATTTTCTAAAATATTAATCACGCAAGTATAATCTTGCAGAATACTGAGATATTGATTTAAATGTTAAATAAATAAGAGAACAGAAGATTATTGAATATTACTGATTATGATCATTCTGGTCATTTATAAAACTTCCACCTCTCTTGTTTCATTAATTACATATAAGAACCTCCATGCCACCCGACTGACTCCAAAGAAACGGGGAAGTAATTTTTATCGTGGATAACGACTGGTCAACATTGTTCAGCACTAATTAACACTGGTAAATATTGTACAACATTGTCCAACATTGTTTAATAAAGTCCAATAAAATCTAAGAATATTTAGAAATATGCAAGAAATTCAATGATTGTCTAGGGCCTAGACTCTAGGGAACGAAAGAGGAGAGAACTCCTTTACGAACGGCGACTTAAGGAGAATTGATGCTGAAATTTCGAAACCTTTACAATTGTTCACTGGTATGCAATATTATTCTCTGGAAGATTCTATATTTATGTTATTTATTAGTCTTCATTCTTCTTTTAATAGTGTCCTCCTTTGACCTAGTATTTAACTTCTTTTGTTGTTTTCCAATAAGTATCATTTTACTGCCAAGTGATGTCAAATGTAAAATTGATCTTTTGGTTATTGGACAAATAAGTTTTCTTTGTAGGGTTGTACAAGATATGCGTAATTTCTGCAGATTGACGTATGGTCAGTCAGTTCTTTGGAGTTAATCTCTATTATCGCGTGCTCTTTATCTTTTCTGGGCTCCATGATCCCTGATTTCTTTTTTTTTGTACGTACGTACCAGTTATATATAAATAATCATGATATTCACAATCATAGAAATATTTCAATCAAAGGAAAAAGTGATCGGATTTATTCCGCACAACATGATCCGATTATCCACAAGTGCAAAGATTTCAAAGTGAATACAATAAATGAACAAAATACAATATAATAGTCTAAAGTACATTAAATATTGAATTTAGACACCCTAGGGATTAATAATAATAAACACATTTGAACTTACAAGCTTAGCTTACCATTTTAATTACAACTACGTATTTTGGACTAGCCACGAATTCGTTACATTTGCGCGCGGTAGCTTCTATTTCAACACTTGCTAGTGACAAACAACGGTTTAAAACAGTTAAAAATGTATTGAATTGTAAGGAAAGTGTATGAAGTAATATAGACAGTCAGCATGTCCATTTCTATAACAACGTAACAAGTATGACTAATCTTCTTATTTTTGTCCGATTCGCCCCGTAATTCAATTCTTTCTCGATCTATCCTATTTAAAGTATGCATGTTTGCAGAAATTGATATATTGACTTACGACGCTGTGATCTGAGCGTAGATCAAGACCCTCATAAGAATACCCACCGACGGCGACCGTAATACAATCACAGATATGGGAAAAGTAAAATTTTGGTTTTTATATGAAAAGGTTTAAATGATTGCTTCCACGTCCAGCGATCTCATCGTCACATAAATATTTTCGCCGATAAATATGTTAATCTTTCTATTCCACCTCTACTCAAAAATCCGCCCCAGTAGCATAATATTGTAATAACCAATGACGGATCAACATTGACTTAGGAAAATTTAAAACCACTCTTCACGTCGTCGCTTCGCTTTCGACGATGGATCGGTCAACACTCCTTCAAACAAGCTTTGTCGAAATTAATTTTTCGTAAAAACATTTCTCGGACCATGCAAATTATTCTACGTATTACTAAAAACATTGTCGCGAGTGAATTCCAAACAGATCTGAATCTCAGATATTATCAACAAGTTATAGCATATAAAATTATTTATTTTAATTTTATAATATGTTGCAAGCAGTTATATTGAAATATTTTTACTATAATTGATATTTATGACCGTAGTGGTTAGTAATGGTCAGTAATGGTTAGTAGTCAACAGGAGTAGTAGTTAGTTAACAGGAGCTCCTCCAAGTTCGCCGGACTAATGTAAAATGAACGTCACACTTGTTGCACCTGTTATACCTGTAGCACTATTTGCTCCGCACTGTATGTCATGGTTTGCTGCTATTTGACTTTAGTTGCTGCTTTTCCTTACTACTCGCCATTGCTCCTCATCATGACACATTAGAAATTTATTTACCTATGAATTTGTTATTTCTGTATATTTGACAGTTATAAAACACGGAACAATTGATTTTCATTAAAGTATATCGATGACGTCGTTTATTCTGGCAGTAGCAACAACTATTTGATCTTTGAATAATTTAAACTTTTATCTGTTGCAAAAAATACTTAATATATTGTAAAATAACATATATGCGTTCTAACATCACAATTCAAATTTCCGCGATAGGCTCGTATCAGTTGCCCAGTTTGCAACCAGAGTTCGACCAATGAGAGGCCTCTCCCTCCACTTTCGGGATATCAGTGCTAGGGAGAGCGCAACCGGTGGCAGTCCCTTAGATGATCGTGAAGAGGTTGATTGAGTTTGAAGGTATGTTCTTACCTCCCTTACTTTCTTTCTACGTTGTCATTTTCATAAATTATTCTTTCTCCCTTGATTGTTTTAAATATTTAAATTCATTTTTTTTAGTTTTTTTTGTTTTAATTCGTATTCCATATCTTTCTCATTATATTAAATTATAGTAAGTGAAACTGCAACACTGTCAGTCATTACTTTGTGCGGTAGTTCTCCCTTCTTGATTTGCTTTAATTTAAAATTTTATCAAATTTTAAGATTAATTTCCTGGTAATAGTTAACTATAGTTCTTTAACTACTTAACTAATAACTTAACTATGGTTCTTATTTGAGCATAGTTATTATAACAGCATTAATTCAAATTGCGATGTATTTTTTGTTAGAGTCTGATTGAAACAAGATATAAAAACCGTTGCAAAATGACGCCATAATGGTTACCGCTGCAAACAAGATGCAACAATGTACATTCAAGGGAAACTTTACGAAGCTTTGTAATTATGGAAACTGGGTGAAATCTATTTATTTACTTATATTTATCATTGTATTTGTACGATATTTTTTTATAAGTATCTTGAATAATTTAATTCTCTGTGCCGAAATCGAAGGAGAAAAAAGGAAAATCAAATATCTTTGTTTTCGTTAAAGTAGTAATTGTTTATATTGGCATTTTTAAAGATTCAACAATTTCAACAGTAATTCTTTCAGATTTTTAAACTAAAAGCATTTCATTTTTTCGTATCTCAGTTGAGACATTATTTTCAACTTAATAATTTTAACTTGTCTGTCTTCGTCGTAATTTCAATTATATTTTCATATAACTTAAAATACACGTTTTATTCCATAGATTCTTGTCCAATTTAACATGTTAATCTTTGCATAAAAAAATTAAATAGTACTAAAGTTCTTTATAGTTTACAACATTTTTCGAAATATAATATTTATATAGTTTACGACTTGAAAATGGATAAAAGTTAAACATGCTTATAATTCTAACTATTATCTCCATAATGATGCATTTACAGCATACAAATTTTTTATTTGAATATCATGTTCAGTTCCTATTGTATTCTTAAAGTATTTCGTAACACATCGGTCATTACTTCCCTTAAGCTCTTCACCCTATAAAAAACCGAATCAGGTTGATGCCTCCAGTCGCGTGTCGTTCCCCCCAGCGACTTCGCTCCCACCCTTAACCGTTTTTCTATGCAGTTGAGGGACCATGTAAACACAGACAGTAGTGTCAGGTGTCGCATTTCGACGATTTATTTTGGATACAGTGGTCAGAGGCTCTCATGCCGGTCCATTCCCAATAACGGACGCATCAAGGTTCTTCGGAAGTAAAATCGATATTTTTTTACGAAATTCAAGTATTTCTGTAGCACCGCGGCTTTTAGTTTGTTTAGTCATAACATTATTTAATGAAAATTATTTTATCCCGCAACAAATATAATCTTTAATTTTCATTCTTTTCTGAAAGAAAAGGTAGTATTACCTTTTTTTCCACCAAGAATCTTCTTTTCTAACTTCGTGAATTCAAAAGAGAATTTATTATTTCATTTTTATGTAGTTTTCAATAAACATTTAAACATATTGAACATTTCGAAATAAGAATATAATTCTTTTACTTATATTTTTAAATTAATCGTACCTTGCAATTGTTTAGCTTCTTACAATTGACTTTTTATTTAAAATTTTTTATATTTTTTATATATATTTAAATGAATGTTTCTTTTGTTTTAGGAGACACCTTTTCTTCTAATAACACAGTTCATTACCGATGCTCAGGATGTGCTTCAGGCTTCCTCGCTGATGGATCAACGTGAGTTTTCTTTTTGTTATCAATTCGATTAAAAATTTATAATTGGAAGCCGATTTTTTAATAATTTTGATATGTTTTTGACAATTTTGAAATGTTATCTTAGTAATTTTGAAATGTTTTCTTGGCAATTTTGAATATTTTTATTAACGATTTTGAAATTTTTTTAATAATTCTGAAATTTGTTTAATATTGTTGACATTATTTTTTAATATTTCTAAAATATAATTTCAATGTTCCAAATTGTTCTTACTTTTTGGAATATCATAATTTGCTTTGATGTATTTAATGTTCCATAGACCCTTATAAAATGTTCTGTTTTTATTTTGTGTGCAGGTGACAACCTCCACCGATGGACGCCCTGGTGAAAATAATATTGTAAGCTGTGGCGGTGAATCGCAATGTTTAATGTTCCTCTGGTCACTCACCATGTCATAGGGCAAAAGGTCCGAAATGACACGGGTGACTGGTTGTATTTTAATATTTTTT